AAGCCATTCTTTTGAAGCTTGGCACAAATTTTCCGGCTGCCGGTGGTGGTGTTGCCTCCACAGGTGGCAGCTCGGAAGTAGTCTTAGGAGGAGCAATTGGGGTAGTTGATCGTGTGGACCTCCCTAGGATTTCTTCCCTGCGCTGCCTCTCTTTCTCCTCTATTTCATCAAGCTTTGCTTTTCTCTCACCTTCTTCTTTGTTTCTCCGCTCCATCTCTGCCCAACACAGTCAAATTACTATGTAACCAAATTTATGAAAAAAGATGCTATCTTCATACTGAAAAGGAAATTAGTTCTTACCTTGGCGCTTGCGTGCTTCCTCCTCTTCATGCAACCTTTTCTGCCTCTCCTCTTCACATCTCAAGAAAAAAATCAACTTCCTATTGACCTCACATTCTTCTTTCTGTGTCTGGATAATATTAGCCACCATCTTTCCTCTATCGGCCTTAAGCGACACGTATTTGGATTTCCGAAGGTTCAGCACTTGTTCTTGGAATATTTTCTGTCAAAAATTAGCAGAGACCCATTTAAATTAAATCTAACTGGTGGGTGTAAAATATAAACAGATGACAACAAAATCACATAATTGGGCCCTGAGGATATAAAAATGGTCTTAAAATTAAAAGACTCCATAAAGGAGGAAATATTATAAAAATCACATAATTGGCCCCTGAGGATATAAAAACGGTCTTAGAATTAAAAGACTCCATAAAGGAGGAAATACTATAATTAATAGCTGAATTCATCGATACATATATCATGAACAGAAGAAGTATGTCATCATCCCAATTCAACTAACTGAACAAAACAACTTGATAACTAGCATTCTCATAGGCAAAGAATGATAAAATTGAAACAATTAATTATAATACCCGCCCCTTCCGTATGGGATGGCTACAGATTATCCCATAAAAAGTAAGGACAGATATTGAGTAAGGAAATGAAAAGCACAAAAACCTTGTTTTCCAACATCCTGCTTAGCCTCCGCTTTTCCTTCACATCTACAGCATGTCGCTCTCTGCTTTTATCGAGTTCTCTCTGTAACAAGATTAAATAAGATAAGCAAATTAACTATCACAGAAACACACACACACACACACACACACAATTTAAAACTCATTCCATAGCAATGCAAAAATTCAAGTGCAGCTTCAGAATAAGAAAAGAAAGCCTCTTTCTTGCATTAAATTAAAAGACAAATAATAACCAGATATATTCCAGCTCAAACAAGATCCCTGATTCAAACCTGATAATCAAGCTCGTGTAAAGCCTCTTCTTCAACTAACCGCCGTTGGAACGCAGCTTCAATAAGTGGAGCTGCCTCCTCTCTTTTTGCCCTCTCCAAGTAATCAGTAGTCTTGCTGAGTTTCAGTAATTGCTTTTCCTGAATCCAAATGAAATTAATTAAAGAAATCGTTCAGATCCAAAAATAGAATGGAGAAACTAAATGCAGAGATCAGCCAGCCAACTCACGCCCTCTACCACTGGTTTATTTCCTTTCTTCTTATTACGATTTTTAGCTTCCAGCAGCAAAGTTTGAGCTTCTTCTATCGCACGCTCCTCTCTTTCCCTACGAATTCTTTGATTCTTCATTTGCTCAAATTCAATGGCGAACCTTTTCTGTTCCGCCTCCTCAGTTATCTTCGGTAATTTCAGCCTCTTGGCTTCCTCTTCTCGTTCCTTCACCACTCACAATAAACACAACAAAATTAGACATCTTCAACACATCTTTCTTAAACAACAAAACAACTAGCAAACGCAAAAATGAAGCTAAATAAGGCATACAATTCCTAAAAGCTGTCGTTCTTGTTCTTCTCTGCGCTTTTCAATTATTGATCTGCGCGCAAGAAGTCGCTTGTGTTCTTTCTCAACCAATTCCACCAAATCTGTAAGCGTTTCCCTCAATTTTGAGACCCTCTTTGCAGGAGGATAGATCATCGCCCTTGCTTTGCCAAGAGACTCGGCAAACGTTGACAGGTGGTCCCTTAAGCATTCTGATTCAAGACCCTATGAAAACGGATTCATATTTTATTTCACTTTTTCCTTGAAAGAAAAAATACGAGTACCCTATGAAAACGGATTCATAATTACAAGTACACTATGAAAATGGACCAGAGCTGCTGGAGAATAGAAGAGTCGTCAACAATGAAATGGGTTTACCTTATTACCAAAGAAAAAGGCATCTTTCCTGTAATCCACTTCTTCCATAGCTAAGAAATTATTCTTGACTGCATCAACTGACATTTTCTCGACTGTAGGAAAATCAAAGAACGGAATCATCCTTGATAAGTTGTCAATATTCATCCTTTAAAATAGAATATACAGAAAGAATGATCAATTACAGTAACCAGAACGACAAAAGGCTAAGAGAGACTGTGTTAATACCTCTTTGAGAATTCGTCAAACACCTTAAGGTCAGGTTTCTGGGAGAGAAGTGTCCAAGAAGCCTCTGATATTCGCCTACCAAAATTTGAACAGCAACACACTATAATGAGTAGCAGAAAACGGTGACCATGAAGAACAAAAAAAAAAAAGAGAAGAG